AATAAAATATTTCTAACATGAGAATGATATTAAAAAAAAAAAATGCAAGAAAGGGATAGTTCAAGTGTGAATTATTTACTCATCATGAGGAATATCGATTGGGACAAATGTGTAGTACAGATTTTGTCACGGGCTGCAACTTTTCTTATTTATTTATTTATTTATTTGTTACTATTAATTTTATTTTTATTTTTTTTCCCAAACTTAAGGTTTTGTTTTGTGAGAAGGGGTAAAGTTGGCAAAGATTCTTTACCTCAAAACTGGGGAATTTTTTTGGCTCACATGTCACGAGGCTGTTTTCAGATTGATGGAATGAAAAATGGGCCTTTTGGACAGGATAAGTCTTGTTGGTTGTCACAAAAAATTGGGGTTATTTCACAGAAATTATCATTGTAAAATGATAGCCGTTTTTGCTTGTAAAATGACACAATTCTCCTTACTATCACAAACCGACAGTTATGGGAATATGGGATCCCAGAAATGGTTTGTAGACTAAAATGACACAATTACCCTTACTATCTTACTATCATAAACCGTATATTAAAATTTGGATCCCAGATTTCCAGAAACGTTGTATGATAGTAAGGGTAATTGCATCAGGGCAAAATGACTATTATTCACACTTTTAGAAAAACAGTGATTGTATTATTTCATGTTTTTACAAGGCTTGAAAATGCAAAGTAATACTACTCATTCTCATCGGCAAAATGCAAAGAGAAAAATGTCACGATTTTTTTGGTTTTATTTCGACGCTAAACAGATTTTGGAGAGTCCATGAGGCAGCAATCAGGATCCGAGATGTTCAAGTCCGAACTACCTCCTGTCAAGAAGAAGCAAAAACGAAAGAAATCAAAATCGAGTTCCTCTCCAAAGTCTAATTCGGGCTCTTCTTCAAGGTCGTCTAGAGCAGCCGCAGCCAAGTCGAAGGCCAAATTGGTCGAGAGCACCAATGCAAAGCCAACAAACATTGAGGTTGCATGAGAACACAAGATGAATCAAACTTGTTATAGTTTGTGGGAAAAAAAATTACGATTAGTGGGTCGTGTTTTTTTTAGGGAATTTGCGTAGTTTAGCTGCGACTATTTGGAGTGAAAATTTGAAGTGGGGGATAGAAGACATCTAAAAGGCGAAAACGAAGGTATATATATATTGTTCGAACCTCATGTTGAGAACTAATGAA